ACCAGAACTGTACACAGCACTCTGAAAGTGGCATCACTAATGTACTGCTCAACCTCAACATGACATCCCAATTTCTATAATCATTGGTCTGATCAATGAAGGTAAGCATGCCAAACGCCTTCTGTACCATTCTGTCTTCCTTTAATGCAACTTTCAAAAAACTATGTACTGCACTCTTTTCCCCAGGGCATTACCATTAACTGTGTCAGTCCATAGTTTTCCTTCAAGCAGAAAAGATTGAAGGATTTTGGTTTGGGTGTACAAAGTAACAAGGGGTGTCTGTGAGGTTGACATGGAGATTTACCCACACTATAGGGTTCAATAACCTGGAGGAACAGATTTAAGATGAAGAGCAGGAAATTGAGAAGATTTTGTGAAAACTGCTCTTACTGAGACGTTGTGGGTACCTGCAACTCATTGTCTCAATGGCTGATAACAGAGTAACGCCTTAAGACATTTAAAAAGGACTTAGATGAAAGAAAGAACTAGAAATGTTTTATTTAAGGAAATAGAGATTCAAAATGCAAGTTTAAGATTATCAAAAGATATTTTTGACAGTTTTTAAACTGAGGACATGAAAGTATGACATGACATTACATGGTGACCTGTGTTCTGCCCCTTCACAAATTTAACTCTTCTGTTGACAGTTTTAAACCTTCTCCCACAATTTCTTGTGGTGAGATGTGTTGTGTGGATATTCGTAACTCACTGGGTTTCTTTATGAGCCAGCGTGGACACGTTCCTTCTTTTTGTGTTGTTGAAATAGGTTTCAAGAACAGCGTAAATGAGCTGGAAACCTGGAAGACAAGTCCTTGAAATCAGGCAAACCATAAACTGACTACAGTTCCAGTTCAGTATAAGAGCACTGTTTAAATCCGCCAAGCCTGGATGCAATTATTTCTGACATTTGGTTTGAGAAAAATATACACCTGGAAAGCTTGTCAGATGCTATGGCGAAAAGACATACATACTGACATGTTAGTTTGGTTCAGAGTGCTAATCTAAACATTGCACAGGACAGGCAAGAAACAGTATCATACAGAAATATATTTTGAGATGTTGGAATGTCTTTTGATGAACGGTGAACAGAATAAAAGTGAATGCAGCACTGGATAAATTTCAGTGCTTCTTACAGCTTAATTAACTTGACAATCAGTTTCCACTGGAAATGTCAGCGTGATCCATGAACTTGGTACTAGTCACTCCATCAATAAATATGTTCGTGCAACAACTGAAAATCTTCAACATGTATCTGACTTCTTCAAAGATAATGAGAGAATGGGTGTAATCTGCAAGGTTAGCCTCTGTAATGATCATAGTCAGTCACAAGAGCATATCAGCCACAAAAGCATGAAAGTGCCAAAAACAGCAAACAGCAAGAACACAGACTTTCTTTTGTTTGCCATTTCTGGATCTCTGCAATTCCCTTCTCTGTTCTGGACATCTGTCCCTTCTGCTGCTCAATAAAATGTTTCTAATGGTCAGAAATTTGAGCAGCAAAATTGAAACAACGGGAAGAAATGAAGTTAGAACGGAGTCAAACCAGTCAAATATCACCCATCCAAGATCAGCAAAACAGCTATCTTTTGTTAAATAGTCCAACAGTACATTGTCAATGATATTATCATGTTGTCAGGTAAAGTCGATGAGCAGAGTTTTAGATGGAACAGGAGAATGGTTCTTGCAGTCACCACCATTGCAGTTTTCTTAGCAGAATAGTTGCTTTTCAGCTTCTGGCAACAAAGTGATCTATGATGAAAATTTAATTTTTCTTTATTCAATCATTGGATGAGGGCAGCAGTGACCAGGCAGCATTTATTGCCATTCCCTAATGGCACAGAGGGCAGTATTTAGAGTCAATCACATTGCTGTGGGTCTAGAATCACATGCAGTCCAGACCAGGTAAGGATGGCAGTTTCCTTCCCTAAAGGACACCACTGAACAAGATGGGTTTTTCTGATAATTGACAATGGATTCCTGGTCATCAATAGATTCTTAATTCCAGGCATTTTTATTGAATTAAAATTCCACCATCTGCAATGGCAGGATTTGGTATGGTCTCAGAACATTATCTGGTCCTCTGGATTAACAGTCCAGTCATAATAACACTAGGCCACTGTTTACGAAACTGAAGTATTTGCAGATAGATCCCTTCAGACAGTAATAATACTACAGACACGAATCATATCGAGGTTGGATTCCTTGAAGTAGTAACGACTGATCTGATACAATATGATCTCATTGATTGCAACCATTTGATCTGCTGTTGCTACGGCTACCAGGCAGTGACTGATACAAATGGAGAGACTACACTTTCCTTGGAAAAGAGTCAACAATCACCAGTAACTTAACTGCACAGTGGAGAAGTTAAGAAAACAGGCGGAAATTAATGATAAATACCTCATTCCCCCATGCCTAAGAACAGACAATAAAGATTGTAATGTATCTGAAATCAACATCCTTAGCCCAGTGAAACACAATTTCACACATTAGTTAGATAATTTCTTCCAGAAAATGGATTGCAAGCTTGCAGGAAAGTTCCTTTTCAGCTCAGAGACAGTCAGGTTCAGTGTTCTACTCTCAAACTCAAATCCTGGAATTTGCAGCAGTTTGTTGGGAGCTAACCTGTTACAGTATTCATGTTGAAGGCATGCTGTGTTAGCCCCTCCAAAGCATTGTTCTGCCTTTTACTGCAATCCCTGTGTTTGGACATCACTCTGTCGCTTGCACTTATCAATTACTTGCTCAAATCCTTTTTGACATTCCATAAAGAGCTTTATAGGTTTCCACAATTCTATGAGCAAAAATCAACATCACTTCAGGGCTGCTCTAGATTTTGTTTTCAAGATTGTAAGTTATCAGCACAAACTTTATAAGCTGCTCTGAACTCTGCTAAATATTAGGGAGCTCAAACAAATCCTTTAGCATCAACGGTGCATTCTATCTCCTGCCTGACAAAACCACCATACCTCAGTTCTGCTTCCTTTCATGAAATCAATTTGTTATCTAAGCTAACACTTCCTCTTTAATTCCAAACAGCTCTCAACTTGGACGTCTCCTTCTGTATTGAACCCAAGCCCGAAGTGTTACATAAAATTATATGGTAAACGTGATGTCAAGAAATGGCTGAGAGCACTGAACACTGTAAGAGCTATGAACCCTGGAAATAGTATTGTGGACTTGTGGTCCAGATCATGCTACATCGTAACCAGGCTTTTCTATATTATTGCAATACTGGCAACTATCCAACAAGGTGGAAAATTGCCCAGGTATTTCCCATATAATAAATGTAGGCAAATCTAATTTGGCCAGTTACCACCCAATCAGTGTACACTCAATTATCAGTAAAGTGATGGACGGTGTCAACAACAGTGCTATCAACCAGCATCAGCTTAGCAATTACCTGCTCAGTGATGCCCAGTTTCCACCAGGACCTCTTAGCGTCTGACTTCATTGCAGCCTTGGTTCAAAAATGGACAAATAAATTGAATTGACAAAGTGGGAAGAGAGGTGAGAATAACTATCTTGATATCAAGGACCGTGTGTGGCACCAAAAAGCAAAACTGGAATCAATGGTTATCAGGAAGCAAACACTCACCTAGTTGGAATCATACCTGGCACTAAAGAAAATGGTTTGACGTTGTTGGAGGTCAATAATCTCAACTCAGCAAGAAGGAATGTTCTAAACCCAACCAACTGCAGCTACTTCATCAATGACCTACCCTCTATCACAAGGTCAGAAGTGAGGATGCTTGATGATGATTGCACAATGTTCAGCATCATTCATGACTCCTCAAACACCAAAGCAGTCCATGTACAAATGCAACAAGTTCTGGACACTATTGAGGCTTAGTCTAAGGTGTGGAAGGTGATATTTACACCACATGGCACGCAATGACCACCTCCAATTGGAGTCCACCTAAACACTGCCCCTTGATGTGTGACTATTCAGTTGTGTTCCCATGCTAAATCACTACTCTTCAGAGTTCCTTAGTCCAACTCCCATGTTTCCCTCCATTATGATATTCTGGGTCGACCTACAGCACATAGACAGCAGTGCAGGTAAGCAACTCACCAGCACCTCCTCAAACAACATTTTGGGATGATGATAAATGTTGAACCAGTCATTGTTGCCCATGTCCCTCGAGTGAATTTAATAAATCAAAATGGCAAAAACTTGCCTCTCAGGCTACATTGAACCATAACGACAATTTCTTAATGAAGAGGCAGAGAAAGAAAGAGCATACTCCAATTCTTAGTTAACTGTACAAAATAGACTTCGGTATAGACTGAGGACTGCCGTTAGGATGAGGGTTAAGGTTAGGTTTGGAGAAGTGGGCATTAATTGCCTCATTGCAAAATGTGTTATGTCCTGGCACTGCAGTTGTGTTTCAGGGTTCAGATATGTACATTCGCAATCCTCCAACCTGGAAATAAATCATAAACTGAGTAAACATTGACTTCTAAACAATGTCCTCACCAACTGGCTGTCAGACATTGAACTCTATGCATCCCAACACCTCAAATGGAGAGACAGAATTCAATGTCCTTAGAGAATTGAAGTTTGTATTTTTAACTGGGATTCTGCAAAACCAGAATGAATCTGTTTTTCTGTATTCTATCTACATTCCAGAGCAGCAAGTTAACTTAAACAAAAAGGACCATGTTTTACAGGGAACCTCTAAATGCATCTATTCATTATTTATGGGATCAGTTGTTTCTGCATGCACTGTTAGCTTCATTGCGTAATGGTGTAACTAATGTTGACTCCTGAGTTTTGAGTCGGTTGTGTTTTTCCCACCATAGTATTCACATCAGGGTCAAATCTGTTGATGTAATTAGTTTGTTTGGTTTGGTGTTACTAAGAGCGATATCAGGTGTAACTATGTCACTGGAGGCTTGCTCTCTGAATAAATCAGGATCGATTGGAATGGATCAGTTCACAGCTCCTGCCAGAAGCGTGATATCCACAACAACCAAAGTTGTTGCTACTCTCAGAAATGGGATATCCAATTGTGTGGCAAATAGAAGATATTTTCTATCCTCTTATTTCAGCCATTGGTGTTCCTGGTAAGCTGTTATCACAAGTGTTCCTGACACAAACTGATGATAACTTTGTTGTTTAATTGTCATTACTTATTACTGTGTATTTCACACAAACAACTCTCCTAATCATGAAATGCTGCCGTTATATCTGATCCTTCACTCTTCAAGGAAATTCATTTTAACCTTAATCATGGACTATATGTTTCCTTTGTTTACTTTATATACTTTGGCTATGGAATCCAAAATATACTATTGGCAATTGTGTTTCAAGCACGCAATTATAGGAAAGAATGCAGTAATTCAGTTTAGACCTGTTGTGCAACATCAAAGCTGGAAATTTTGTCCTAGTTTCTGTCACATTGTTCTTTGATTCAGGACATGATCTGTAAATATTTACTTCTATTTCAATGTCTTCCCTCACAGTTAACTTGGTGGCCATAATAATCCTGTCCCGAGGAAAGTGTGGACTCTCCAAGTGCATCACTCATTACTTGATTGGAATGGCAGTGGCTGATCTCCTCGTCGTTGTCTTTGATGCCATATTGTGGATCACTGTTCCGATTTATTTACCAAATTCATTCGTGAAACTTACTCCCATGTGCAGTCTTTTTTCTGCCTTGGGGTCAGCAGCCACAGTGATTTCTGTCTGGCTCACAGTCACGTTCACTTTTGACCGTTTTGTGGCCATTTGCTATGAGAGATTGAAAACAAAATTTTGCACCGAGAGAACTGCAGCAGCATTTATAGGGACCGTGACCGTGCTGGGCTGCTTGGAGTCTCTACCCTGGTACTTTATATATGAACCACGGTACATCATTAATAATCTTCCATGGGGTTGCATCCAGAAATCGAGTTATTTCAGTTCCCCTGCATGGGCTGCATTTCAAATGATTAACTACATTTTAACCCCTTGTGTGCCGTTCTTTCTGATCTTGCTGTTCAATGTGCTGACAGTCAGGCGTATTTTAGTGAGCAGTCAAATCCGTAGGGGTCTCCGTGGCCAAAGAAGTGAAGAGAAACACAAGGATGTGGAGATGGAAAACCGGTGGAAATGCATCATTTTGCTTTTCAGTATATCAGGCAGTTTTGTGCTGTTGTGGGTGACCAAAGTTGTGTATAATATTTATTCACGTATTAGAGATATCAAACTTTATGCATCCTACACAGACCCTTGCTTTATCACAGATCGCGCAGCAAAGATGCTGCAAGTGCTCAGCTCCTGCACCAACACGTGTATTTATGTTGTGAGCCAGGCTGAATTCAGGAAAGAGCTGAAGAATGCAATGACGTACCCCTTCAAGCAATTCATTAAATTATGGAACTGGTTAACAAGTTTGCAACATGCGAATTAATTTTCAGTCCATGTTCCAAAACCTACAATCGCCAAGGGGGTAAGAATTAAGTTATCACCATTACAGTCTTCAGTCTGATTATTTTTGTTCAAAAAATCAATTTCTTACAATTGTGTGGACAATTCATGAATTGATCTCCCAAAACAAAATTGGGCAAATGAGAGTTCAGACAGATACCAACTAAGGCTTGAGAAAATGTGGAAAAAACTGCCCATCTCTGCGCTGGGATTATTAGGAAACGGGCTCTGAATTTCACCAGAAATACGGCGATTGCCTGAATATGTCTTTCAAAATGCTGACAATTGAGTGTCAGTCTGAAAAGTTGACTCTTTCCCGAAAGTTCCTGCCAAATTCCGGATTAATTTCCCAATTTTCCTACCTGTATCTGCCGACTTTACAGCTGAACTGGTTTACTGTGAGATCAGAATTCTTCAGAGCAGTGCTCTTTCAGGAATTGTCAGGCAAATGGCAAAGAGGCAGATTACCAGCTCTCATCCTGATCAATGTCTCTGCAGATCAAAGAGAACATGTGGTTAACTGTAGTCCTTGTTCTTAAAATGAAAAACCCAAAATCATTTTTCCCTCTCTCCTGAATTGAGCAGGAAATAAACGTTCTCTAATATTGTTTTCTGATGTGGCCCTGAGCAGAGATAAAATGCCTCAAAGAATGCAACATCCTAAACAGTTTTAACTGCACAATGAAAAAATGTTTCCTCTTATGGGTCAGTGGAGTCTGAGGGGTGATTAATTGTCACTGTTTTAGAATTACAGCTTGCCCTTATATGAGATGAAGAGAATTTTTGTTTTCTCTGAGGGCGTGCAAGATTGTAACTCACATCAGACGTGGTTGTGGGTTGAGGGTCTGTCATTCATTATTTTTTAGAGTAAATAGATTCTTGATAGTAAAGAAAATGAAAGGAAAATTAGGCATGTAGAAATTGAAACACAAACAAATAAGCCATGATCTGATCAAATGGTGGAGCAGACTTGGGGATAATGTTATATTTCTGTTTCAACTTCGTATCTTTGTACGCTCATAAATGTTGTAAGCTCAACTCCAATCCATGGCGCGCACCCACATCGAGATGTATTCACGTGAGCAGTTATAGCAAGGAGATCATTTAATTTCTATCAAGGATTGTGCTTGAGGGAAATGAGACATATTCGTGAATTTTATTTGGACACCACATTTGTACCATTATGAAGGAGGGGGCAAACAATGTTAATTGTGCATTAGTCATGTGTTCCATCTCCTCCACCCTCCCACCATTGAGAAAAAGGGAACAGGGGCTGGAGTCTGTGGTTTGAGCTGTTCTGCCATTCTTGCTCTGCATGCTACTGGCCATTAAATAACAGAAAACAGAAGTACGATTAGGCTTCTCAGAACCTTGAGCCTGCTCCACCAAACAACATGATCACGGCTGACCATTGAACTTAGTCCCCTGTTCCAACTTTCTCCCCCATACACGTTGTTCCCTTTAGCCCAAAGATCTGTACCTAGCTCTTTCTTGAAGATATTCAGTTTTGAGACCTCAACTGCTTTGTTTCACAGAGAATTCCACAGGCTCACCGCTCTCTGTGTGAAGACATTTCTCCTCATGTCAACCCTAAGTTCCCTACCCGGTATCATTCAACTGTGACCCCTTGTTCTGGAGGCACCCATCATGAGAACATCCTCCCTGTGTTTGCCCTGACTAGTCCTGTTTGAATTTCTTCAGTTTCGATGAAATACACATAAAAACATTCTCCTAAGCTCTGGTGACTATAATCCTAATGGATCCATCCTGTCTTCATGCATTAGTCCTTTCACGCCAGGAATCAGTCTGGTAAACTGTCGTTGCACACTCTTCATAGCCACAACATCATTTCTCAGATAAAGAGTCTAAAACTGCACAGGATACTCAATGAGTGGTCTCACCAAGGCCTTGTACAATTGCAGCAAGACATGCCTGCTCCTGTATTCCAATCCTGTCACACTGAATTCTAACATCCCATTCGTCATCTTCACCACCAGTTGTGCCTGCATGCTTACTTTTTGTGACTGGTGTAGGAGGGAGACCGAGGCCTCATTCCAGAAGTGAGAGATTTTAGCTGCAAGGTTCGATTGATGTGGTTGCAATTGTCTATCTTGAAATGAAGAACCTTGAGCAGAGATTCAAAAGTGGTGTGCAATATCATGAGAGGAGATAAACAATACCCATTCTCATAAGCAAATAGCAGAAGGACCAAGTGAACACTGATTTAAGGTTCTGTAGAAGTTTTGAGGGTGTAGTGTGGTGAATGGTAATGAATGAAGCTTGTTGGCTCCAGGAGTGGATGATGCAGCAGTCATGAAGCGCTTTTAAGATTTTGTGCAGAGACTTGAAGGAAATAATCTGGCCAGGCTGTGGGTATGGAGTGGATCATTAAGACATACTGCATTGCTTTCCAGAGAGCCAGCAAGGACTCAATGTCTTGAATAGCCTTCCTCTGTATTGTCATGATTCCGTGATCTTATCCAAACAACATTCAATAAAATTTGGTCTTCTTTGCACAGGATGGCAGATAATCCCAACACCTCCAGGTCAAAAAAATCCAGATGACTGGACTTGAAATTCAGTCAATGGCAAGGCTCCAATTGAACAATGGCTTATTTTAGTTATACAATTTGGGAGTCACTGACTGGGCTAACGTTTATTGCTGAGCCTTATTTGCCCTGGGAATGAGACAACTGAATGTCTCGTTTGGGTCATTTCAGATGGGAGTTAACAGTCATCACATTACTGTTGATCTGAAGAGATAGTAGGAACTGCCGATGCTGGAGAGTCTGAGATAACAAGGTGTAGAGCTGGATGAACACAGCAGGCCAAGCAGCATCAGAGGAGCATGAAATCTGACATTTCGGGTCTAGACCCTTCTTCAGAAATGACCTGTTGATCTGAAGTTACGTTTAGGCCAGACTGGGTAAAGATGGCATATTTGTCTTCCTGAAGGGCATTCGTGAACCATATGGCGTTTGACGTCAATGGTGACGTGGGCAACATGTGGTTAGCATCTTGATTCCAGATTCTGCTCAATTCAAATTTTATCTTCTGCATTGGATAGGAATTGAACCCATCTCTGCAAAATATTAATCTGTTCTGCATTCCTGGCCCAGTGACATCATCACTGTGCCATCAGACAGAACTTACCAACGCTCTGTTAAAAGTTGAATATTACTGTGTTTGCTTGTTTCGAAATAGAAGACAAGAAAATAAACTTCGAAAATACTAGCTGTCATGTTAGGTGCTCTGGTCCATTAGCAATATTAGTTGACTAGGAGGACGCAGGTCAACTTGAGGTCAAGGGTTTAGACCCCACTGTGGGAATGGGTGAACGTTAAATTCCGATTCAGAACCTGGCTTTGTAGTAACAGTTTCTGTACTTTCATCATTGTGGTTGTTGTCCTAACTGGGAAAGGGGATCAGATATCCCACTTCAAAGGGCATTAGGGAACCAGAATTTTTTGTCATTTCAACCCAGCAGTTTTTATGTCCTCCCTTTTTCATTCACATCATTATTTTCCATTACCTTTTACTGTCTGAAATTGCCTCCTTTGATCTGTGAAACTATATCTTGATATTTTCTCTCTTTCTCTCTCAGTGGCTGTCTATTTATAACCCCTTTGTTCTTTCGTTCCATCGAACACTTACATTCCCTCCCACTCTTTTGTGCTATTCGTCGCTGGGACTTGGTGCCACTCTCTGGTCCAGCAATTATTGCCATCCGTAGTTGCCCATGGACAAGGTGGCGGTGAACTGCATTCTTAAACCGTTGCAGTCTGTCTGTTATAGGGGCTCCCACACAAGGCTGTCAGGCAAGGAGTTGCAGGATTCTGTTCCATCAATACTGAAGGTAATTCAATGTATTTCCAAGTCAGGATGGTGGGTGTCTTGAAGGGCGTTGTAATGTTCGGCCAGAAAATGTTATCTTCCAACCAGATTATTAAGGATGGTTTAAGGATTAATTGCTCGTGGCATTGAATAGTCTGTGAGAACTGTCCTAATGTACAATTACACGGGGTCACCTGGCTTTGTTTCTCAGCCTGTTTTGAAGGATAGAAAAGTGTTGTCGTCATTAAGAAATGGAGATTCAGCACAAATTCTTGTGTCTCTAACCTATAGTAAGTAGAAAAGTTAATGAATTTGTTTCATATTGAAGTGCACATGTCTTCTTGTATTCATTTTGATCAGACCTTAAATAACCCATTAGGTACTTTTAGCCTAACAATACAGCTAATCCAAAAAAAATACAATACACTTGGCACTTCAAGCAGGGTATGAGCAAAATGTTCAAGGCGAAGAAGGCTGGGGAAGTATTCCATGTCCCAAAATCGTCCTCTCATGATGGATTCTGTGTGCAAGAGAACTAGGTGTCTGGGTTGTGGCTCTCTAGTTTTGGGTCTATTTGGAACAATATCCCATGGGGCTGCTGCATGCCAAGGAGGACTATCTGCAGGAAATAGTTTTCACAGCACAAACCAAAGCTGTCGCACAAAGGCTGAATTCTGCTGACCAGCCTCTGGACATTGTCTCGAGCGGTGGGAGAGTTAAAGGAGGTGAACTATACATTGCCTGGCCGCAGCAGAAAAGCAGGAGGTTGTGCTGGCAGAGATGGCTTGAACTGACCACAGTCCAGCATAACAAGCAGGTGAAATGTTGGAGGTGAATCCAATAAAAGTGCACTCTTTATTAACTTCAGCTCAGTGACAGAGAGGGAGATGTCTTCTGTGAATCCTTTGATACTGCAAGCGGACTCTGGGTGTCCAGTGAACTCAATTAGCGATTCAGAGACAACACAGTATGGACCTGGAGGAATACAGCAGGACAGGTAGCATCAGAGGAGTAGTAAATCAGCAGGGGTCCCCTTTCTGAAAAAGTGTCCGGAGTCAAAACGTCGACTTTCCTGCTCCTCTGATGCTGCCTCGTCTGCTGTGTTCCTCCAGCTCTATCCTGTGTTGTATCTGACTCCAGCACCTGCAGTTCTTGATATCTCTCAATTGGTGAATCCACTGGTCCATACTACATCAAAGAGTTGTCGACAGTGAATTAGATGTGTGAAGCTATTGGGCATCGTGACAACATTTTTGCACAGTTCAAAATTAACCAGGTGCAGCTGCTACAAGTCTGAGAGTGATTGCCTTCAAGTCGGGCTTATATAATCCCTGAAATGCAGATAGAGGAAATGCAGCACTGCACCAACCCTTGGAATAGCATCCATCCCAGGCCCATGTAACCACTCCATAAGCCCACATTTACCATTCCTACTGCATCTAAGCCTGCTCTTCCCTGGACACTATCAGTGACTTTAACATGGCCAATCCATCAAATCTGCACACGTTTGGGCTGTTAGAGGAAACCAGAGCACTTAGCAGAAACCCCCACAGACAAGGTGAGGAAGTGAAAATTCCACACTGACAGTCACCCAAGGCTGGAATCAAACATAGGTCCCTGGTGCTGTGAGACCGCAGTGTTAACCACTGTCCAAATCCATGCTGACTTGAATGGAAAAAGCTAGGCTGATATGGCTGATAGTTGAATAATAGGTGATCTTGTTGGAAACCAAACAGTCAATGTAATGTCATGATGGTGTACTGTATCTGCTGGTTCTGGAATGTAAATTGTTGGATTTCAATCTATTTAGACATCTTTCTTTAACTATGTAGGGGAGAGAGAGAGAGACCAGCTTTTGTGTTTGGTCGAGGTAATAAATCTTTTCTGTCTGGATATGAATTCCTCAGGTGTTATCAGTCTCTGAACTAACTGCAAACCCTTTGTGATCTGGTTCATATGTACTTTTGTTCGTTCGCTGCCAAAATGCCATCTTGTATCATTCGTGTATTTTTCTCCGTGGAGCTCAAGATCTGGAGTGGCTTTAACCCGATGTGCCTTCAAGAAATTATCAGTGGTTTTATGATCTGCAACCAAAACAAACTGCAACCTCATAGCCTGGCATATCCCCCACACAACCAGGACCATCAAGCAAGGGGATCAACCCTGGTTCAATGGAGATTGCAGGAGGGCATGCCAGGAACAGCACCAGGTTCACAAGAAAGTCAGGTGTGAACCTAAAGCTGCCAAACAGGACTACTTACCAAACAGCATAAGCAGCAAGTGATAAACAGGGTAAAGAGATCCCACAACCGGTGGGTCAGATCTCATTCCAGCCATGAATGGTGGTGAGCAATTCAACAACTCACTGGAGGAGGAGCCTCCACAATTAACCCCTGTGCTTAATAATGGAAGAGCTGGTAGAAGACAGCGTTCACGAAGGCAGCTCACCACCACCTTCTCAAGGGCAACTAGGGACGGACAATAAATGCTGTTTTAGCCAGCAACAGTCACATCCCACAAATGAATCAAACAAACGACCTGCTACGGCGTACTTATGTGGAATTAGTCACTTAAGGGCATGGTAAAACTTACATCTTGGGATTGGTTGCAGTCATGTGAAACCAATTGAAGGAAGGATTTTTTTTAAGTGCCATAATTTATTTCCTTTTTCCTCAAAACGCTACACGACGTCAGTTGGATTTAGTTTAAGGGAAGAGTCCTGGGTAAATAGTAAAATTTGCAAAATTTGTGATTTGAATCATTGTGTTTGGAATTTCAGTTTCTGGTCCGAGTGAACTCGCAAATATTATTGCAATTTGTGAGTGAATCTTTAATGCTGGATAATGAGATTTGCTCAACTTGAATGTACTGTTCTATGTTCTATGAATGTTTGTTGATGTGAATCGGATCTCTGGAAATATAAGTAAATACAGAACTTCGGAAAGGTAATTCACTGTGCTAAAATCTGGGACAACCGATGTCAAAGAGTTTGAAGAATGTAAAATCTGACGAAGGAATTAGACTTCTTCTTCTTTCAGAAAGGATATGTAACATACGGTCCTTATCTCCTGTTCACGAAGAAGAGGAAGGTGTTGACATAATTACATAAAAGATCTTCAGATAAATGATTGCATCAGCTCTGAGCATTTACATATTCAATATATATAGATTTCATTCAACAGAGGCACATTGGCTAATTAACCCATTCTGCTTGAAGTGGGATAGATTGATATTTGCTCGTTTTTCAACTTTGTTTCCCCAACAGAATCGAATTCCTGAAGATGTCTACACACTTCCTGCGTCACAGCTGCACAGACTAAATGTTGATGTTGAGGATGATGATGATATGGACTTCTCCCTTGATATCACAAAGACCAAAACACACCAGAGACAAAACAGTGAACAGACAGCAGCTGGAGCTACTATCATGGAAGTCAAGACAGGTAACCTTGAGAATGGAGTTGCTGGAGTTTCCCCAACTGTTTCATCTCTGTGGAGTGAGGCAAAGCCCGTGTGTAATATCACTCAGGAGCTGGAAAGGGTGGACAAATGTTTAGGGCCCTGAGGCATATTTAAAGACAAGATCAACAAGTCCCCTTCCCTCAGTGAAATTAAAGAAGCCCTATGTGAAATTTGAATTCATAGAATTACAGAATCCCTACAGTGTGGAAACAGACCATTCAGCCCAACGAGTCCACACTGACGCTCTGAAGAGCATCCCACCCAGAACCATGCCCCTACACTTTCCCTGTAACCCTGAATTTCCCATGGCTAACACACCTAACCTACTTGTCCCTGAACACGACGGGCAATTTACCATGGCCAATTCACCTAGCCTGCACATCTTTGGATTGTGGGGGAAACCAAAGCACCTGGCAGAAACCCACGCAGACACAGCGAGAATGTGCAAACTCCACACAGACAGTTGCCTGAGGGTGTGAATTAGAGGATACTTGAAGTCGTAATATTCCTTAACTGAATCGTTCAGCTCTTCAAAGGTTTTAGTTTCTGGTGCCTCAGGAAACGTTGGACTCCTGATAACTGAAAAAGCTGTGGGTCCACAAGCTGTCAGGAGAATTACCTGTTGCTTTTCATCTGCCCCAATGTCATTTCTACAGGAAAAAAATAACACGTACAGGGCCCAGTCTTCGATAAATGAGTCAAGCTTCCTAAATAACAGTATGTTGCCAGAAATATTTACCCAACTCAAAAATGACTGTTGCAAGCGAATTTCTTTGGGAGCATTTTATTTTTCCTCTCATTGCCACTGAAATAACTCCACAGAGCCAAGTATACCATTACGAAGTCACCATTTATTTCCACGTGCAGAGCAAATGACCCTGCTTCGTCTTCCTCAGAGCCAGTTCTCAGAGTGTACAGAACCTCTGATACTCCTGCTTTATATATATATATATATTTCCTTTTTTGGAGATTCTGAATCCTCTATTTATATTTAGGGGAGTGGCAGTTTGTAGAGCACCAGTCTTCAGTGTTAGTGTCAAAATGTTGTCAGGGCCAATAGCCTTTGCAGCATCCAGTGTCTTCAGTTGTTTCTCAATATGATGTGGAGTGAATTGGAGTCAAGAATCCTCTCTGCACTCTCTCTCTCATGAGTCTACACTCTTTCTATAGTGTGGAGCCAGTACTCCAGTTTACTGGCTTTCCAAGACGACAGCTTAGCACCTCTGTCTTAAAACCTCCCTTAAAACAAACAAAAGTTCAAAACACACCTCCTATAGCCACAGTCTCATCAAAATAAGTCCACCAGAGATATAAAGTGTTTTTCTAAAGAAGCAAAGATGGGCTAAGGGAAAACATTTGATACATAGGGAGTATGTTCAGACATGGAATGCACCGCCTGGAAGTTGGCAGGTTCAAATGAAGGTTCAAGGGGGCATTGGATGATTACTTAAACAGAAACAAGTTCAGGGTACAATACAAAGGCAAGAGATTGGCATGAAGTCAAGATGTTCAGAGAACCAGTAAAGATAAGATGGGCTGAATCGTCTCCATTTGCACCACAACAATTCTAAAATTAATCAACTTTTGGAGAAACTGAATCACCCAGGAATTTGGAACTCACTGTCTGTAAAGGTGGTTGAAGCTGAATTAGTTCATAAAATTGAAAAGCTATTTAGATATGCACTGGCAATGTCAAGGCATTGCAGGCTACAGCCAAGTGCTGGAAAATGGGATTAGAATAGTTAGGAGGTTGTTTTTGGCTGGCATGTGTGCGACAGGCTGAAGGGCCATTTTCTTGCTGTAGATCTTTATGACTCTAAAGTTTCTCACTTGGAAATATGGGGCTGTTAGAGAGAACCATTGGAAATATGATGGACCGAATGGCCTCCTTCTGCACCATAACAATTCTGTGATTCTTTTTGAGAGAACTGAATACTCCATTTGCAGGGGGAAAACGCCCACCTCCAGCTTCAAGGAACAAAAACAGAACTTTCTGGAGAAACTTGGCAGATCTGGCAGAATCTGCAGAAAGAGAAAACAGAGTTAACGTTTTGGCTATTCTTCACAACCCTTGTGACTTCAGGGATCGATGGATCTGAACAGTAATTAATCACTGCTGGCAACTGGACCGCCATTGTTTTCTTTGCAGGATTTTTGGCTTGTGGTTTTGGAATTGAAGTTCGATGGGATCTCAGGAAAATAATTTCCCAGTCTCTGCCTGGCATTGGCAGCAATTTCTCCATCAATTTTGTTTTTGCTTTTATTTCAAATTTTCAGCATCGACTGTTCTTTATTTCATTTTAGTGTTTAACTCACTGTGACAACTCTCCCTGGTATGCCTGCCTTGCAGTTTTGCTCCACTCTCTGACAGGATTTCCATTCTAATCATTCTTCTTGTTCACAATGGTTAATTTAATTGTCGCTCTTTCTCTCCCTCTGGGCTCTGTCTCCACTTATCACATACTCCATATCTACTGGCTACATTCCACCGCTCCCCCCACCTACCATCTCCATCCACGTTGTTCTGTCTTCTGCATGTATACCATTGTTTCCTTGCTCCCGTCAGTTCTGAAAAAAGGTGACTGGACTTGAAACATTAAGCCCATTTTCTCTCTCCACGTGTGCTACCAGATCTGCTGAGTTTCTCCAGTACTTTATTTTCCTGTTCTCCCTCTCACCTGGATCTTCATCATACATGCCAGTTTTTCCCACTGCCATCAATTCTGAAGAAGGGTCACCTGACCGAAAACGTTAAATTTGTTTTCTCTCTTCACAGATGCTGCCATACCTGCTGAGATGTCTCGAACAATTCCTGTTGGAGTCTAACGATGGTAGATCTCGTACCCAGCATGCTGCCCGGTGCAGAAACCGTCCTATCATTTTCACCATGCAGCTGGATGTGCGCATGCGCGCTGGGGCGGCGGTCCAGAGCATGCGCAATGTCATTTCGATCCCAGCCGCCTGGGGAAGGTAAGAGGCGCTGTTGCCGCGGAGAGCAGGAGGAGGTTCAAGAAATGCTCGGCATGACCTCAAGTCGCACAAAGAATCTTTAATTCTTTATGTTTGCTGCTCTGGGTACGTTTTATATCGATTTCCCCCCGACCCGCCGGTGAATGGCCGCATGAGTTAGGAAGATTCAAGTCGCCGCCATATTGGTTTGGGCGGCCCAGTTGCCGACAGCAGCAGGTCTCATCCGGGGAAGACCCCGCCGGAAGTGATGTAATGGCAGGATTGGCTCAGCCACACTGGGACTGTTTCAAAGCAGAGAATTTAGTGAGGAGGTGTTTAAGTGTGGATGGGGCTTAGTAGGTGGGCTTGTTTATTTTTTATTCATTAATGGGATGAGGACATCGCTGGTTAGGCAGCATTTATTGCCCAGAGGGCAGTTCAGAGTCAACCACTGCTGTGGATCTGGAGTCACATGTTGGCCAGACCAGGTAAGGATATCACTTTCCTTCCCTAAAGGACATTAGTGAAACCGGTGGGTTTTTCCAACTATCGGCAATGGATTCACAGTCATCATTAGATGCTGAATTCTAGATATTTTATTGAGTTCAAATGCTACCATCTGCCATGGTGGGATTCAAACTTGGATCCCGAGAACATTATCTGGGTCCCTGGATTAACAGATAATAACACTAGGCAATCGCCTAGTGTTAGGGATGTGACGGTCGATTTGTTTCCCCAAGAACACCTCAGGAAAATTCAATCATGCAAGATGTGGTGAAGGGCAGGGTGACTTTCCCCAGCAAAATAGGAGTTGCAAGTGAATTTGTCCCCAAACACCCTGGGAAAGTTCACTCATCAGAGTGTGTGGTGGGCAAATTTCCTGAGCGCAATACCCGGGAAAATTCCATTGTAGGAGACGTGGGTGGATTTTGCCCCAGAACGCCTGGGAAAATTAAATCATATAGTGTATCATTTGGATTCGCCATCAGAATGCCTGAGGCAATTTACTGGGTGGATTTGCTATCAAGATACCTGAGGAGCTGGACTACTATGTGCAGTTCTGGTCTCCTCTGCGTGGGAGAGTTGTGATTGTACTGGACGGGGTGAAGAGGAGATTCACCAGAATGTTATCTGGGATGGAGCACTTTAGCTATGAAGAGAGCTATGTGCATTCAGATTGTTTTCTTTAGAGCAGAGAAGGTCTGATGGAGGTGTGTAAGATTGCAAGGTGCATGGATCGGATAAATAGAAGGCAGTTGTCCCCTTCGTTAAAAGGTCAGTAACAAGGGGGTATAATTTTAAGGTACAAGGCAAGAGGTTTAGAGGGGATTTGAGGAAATGTAACTTCACCCAAAGGGAGGTGGGGGTCTGGATTGCACTGCCTGGGAGGGTAGTTGAGAATCATAACTTTACAATCTTTATAAAATACTTGGATGAGCACTTGAGATGTCGTAACATTCAAGGCTATGGGCCCAGTGCTGAAAAGTGGGACTAGCGTAGCTTTAGTGGTACAGACTTGATGAGCCAAAGGGCCTCTTCTGTGCTGTATGGTTCAATGATTCTATGAAATTCAATCATGGTGTGAATCTGTCCACAGAACACCTGAGAAATCCAATGATGGGTATAATAGGTGAATATGCTCACAAAAAGCCTGGGAAAATTAAATCAGGGGGCACTATGGACAAATCTGTCCTAGAAGTGCCTCGGGTAATAAACGTATGGAGGTAACAGGTAGATTTCCCCCAAAAACCAAGACAAATTCCATCACCACAGCATCCAATTGGGAGAAAGAGGCAGAATCTGTTACGTGCTGCTCTGCCTTCAATCAGAGATCCTATCTCTTGCCACCTCCTCCAATCACCACCTTGGATGCACGCTGTACCACCAGACTGAGAATCTGTGACTGGAGGAGGAGCCGAGGGCAGGAAGGAGTGATCCTCCAACTGCAGGATCCAATCTGGGCCCATGCCCGCCCACTCAAAGAGGGCATTAATGTAGTCACAGCAGGCCCTGAGGGAGCCTGATACTTAGCCTGCATGAGTGAAGCGAGTGCTGACTGGGACTGTTTATGGATTTTAGGTTAATTGGCATGATTATGAAAATAAAAGTAAGCTTTTATTTATATTTGTATATAAAAATGCTCAGTGCACAGGACTGGGAGTTATTTTCAGACTGTATCTTAACAGGGTTTGATTTTTCTCAGCTATTTGTTGGTGGGTGAGATGCTTGTGCTGGGCTCAAGTTGCAGTTGGGATGAAGGGAGGGATGTTCACAGAACTGCTGATCGATCTGGCCTCCTTGCACATAATGCTACTTCAATTTCTGGCATTAAACTCATGTGACTCAAATCAATGCATCATTTGATTCACCTCTACCATTTGCTGCATAAGCATAGATTTCAGAGCTTGAAGATTGTGCAGGATTTGGCTATAAGTGCACACTGATGACCTGTTTTATATCAACAGTAACTCCAGTGCCTGCATTTCTGAATATCCTACTCTGCACAGTCTGAAGAACTGAACCCAGTGAGTGTAGGGGCATGGAGACAACTGGGAGTGGAGGAAAGAAATGAAGGAGATAGTTTGAGGTATCTCAGCCCAGAGAGGAGGGAGTCACCAGTGTGGAGCTCCTTGGCAAAAGAGTGGGAGGAATGGATCCATAAAATTATCCATGGTAGATTTTTGTCCTGCATTTCAAATGATGACTCCAAGCTCCTTTTTCAGGCTTTTGGTTCGTGAGTATTTACAGAGGGGAGCTCAAAGCAAACATCACATAAAGTTGAAGAGAATAATCAGGACTTGAATATTATTAAGCTCCTCACATATACCGAGAAATCTTGGAGATGGCAAGAACTGCCGATGCTGGAGTCAGAGACAACACAGTACAGAGCTGGAGGAACACAGCAGGTCAGGCAGCATCAGAGGAGCAGGAAAATTAACGTTTCTGAAGAAGAGTCCTGAACCGAAACTTTGACTTTCCTACTCCTCTGTTGCTGCCTAACCTGCTGTGTTCCTCCAGCTCCACACTGTGTTGACCAAAACATCTTTGTGCGTTCTGTCTGTGGGAAAAGATTTTGAAATCACTATGACTGGGGCTGAACTGAAACACCCGAGACAGCATGCTGTGAAGTGATTTAACTGATAACACTGCCTGAACAAGAAATCCTGTTCACAACACGGAGAAATTGTGCAAAAAATACAAACAAACTGTGAATGCAAAAATAAAAAAAGAAACAGAAATTGCTGGAATAACTCAACAGGTATGGCAAAATCGGTGGAAAGAAATCAGAGTTTCGGATCCAGTGAGCCTTCTTCAGATCTGATCCTGTACCTGTGCTGTGTACATGTACAGAACTTTGGCCAACATCCAGACTGGAGAGACGCAAGGCACCATGGAGACGCCCTGAAAATGTGGAAGCTGTGGGAGGGGATTCAACTCCCTATTGCAGCTGGAAACTCACCACTGCAGTGTGGGAGAGGCCGTTCAGCTGCTGCTTGTGTGGGAAGAGATTCACTCAGTCCTCCAGCCTGCTGTTACGGGAGGAGAAGCCATTCCCTTGCTTGGTGCTGGGAAGAGGCATCACGATATCGGCCACACTGTATGATCACCGACGTGTGCACAGCAGGGAGACCATAAGACATAGGAGCAGAAATCAGGTCATTCAGCCAATCAGGTCTGCTCCACTATTCATTCATGGCTGATAAGTTCTTCAACCCCATTCTCCCACTTACTCCCCATAACCTTCGGTCTCCTTGACAATCAAGAACCTATTTATCTCTGTCTTCAAAATACTCCAGGCCATTCAGCAAGTTTCAATCATACTCCCCACCCCCCCCCCGCGCCCCCCCCCCCCCCCCCCCGCCAATCCTTCTAAACTCCATCGAGTATAGACCCAGAGTCCTCAAATGTTCCTCATACGTTAAAGCTTTCATTCCTGGGATTAATCTGATGAACCTCCTCTAGACACACTCCAGGGCCAGTATATCCTTCCTGAGGTATGGGGCTCAAAATTGCTCACAATAATCTAAATGCAGTCTGACCAGAGCATTATAAAGCCTCAGAAGTACATCCCTGCTTTTATATTTTAGTCCTCTCGAAATAAATGCCAACATTGTATTTGCCTTCCTAAGTGCTGACAGAACCTGCAAGTTTACCTTAAGAGAATCCTGGACTAGGTCTCCCAAGTCCCTTTGCACTTCAGATTTCTGAATTTTCTCCCCATTTAGAAAATAGTCTATACCTCTACTCTTCCTACCAAAGTGCACAACTTCACACTTTCCCACATTATATTCTGTCTGCCACTTCTGTGCCCACTTTCCTATCCTGCCTAAATCTTTCTGCAGCTTCCCCACCTCCTCAATACTACCTGTCTCTCCACCTATCTTTATATCATTAGCTAGAATGCCCTCAGTTCCTTCATGTAGATCATTAATGTATAAAGTGAAAAGTTGTGGCCCAACACTGACCTTGTCACTAGTCACCAGCTGCCATCCTGAGAAGGACCCTTTTTACCCCACTCTCTGCTTTGTGCCGGACAGCCAATCTTCTATCCATGCTAGTACCTTGTCTTTAACACCAGGGGCCCTTACCTTACTCAGCAGCCTCCTGTGCAGCACCTTATCAAAGGCATTCTGGAAGTACAAGTTGATAACATCCATTGGCTCTCCCTGCTCTAACCTGCTTGTTACCTCCTCAAAGAATTCTAACAGATTTGTCAGGTATGACCTCCCCTTGATGAAACCGTACTGACTTTGCCTTATTTTGCCATGCAGTTCATAATATTCAGCTATATCCTCTTTCCCAATGGACTCCAAAATCTTACCAAAGACCGAGGTCAGGCTACTCAGTCTGTAATTTCCCGTCTTTTGCTCTACTCCATTCTTAAACAGGAGGATTAAATTAACAGCTTTCCAGTCCTCTGGGACCCTTCCTGATTCCAGTGATTCCTGAAAGATCACCACTAACGCCTCCGCTATCTCTTCAGCTATCTCCTGCAGAACTCTGGGGTGTAGTCCATCTGGTGCAGGTGATTTATCCACCTTCAGACCTTTCAGTTTTTCTAGCAGCTCCTCTTTTGGTGATGGCAACCACACTCATCTCTACTGCCCCTGACTCTCTTGTACTTTTGGGATGTTACTAGTGTATTCCGCCATGAAGACTGATGCAAAATACTTGTTTAGTTCCTCCACCATTTCTTTGTTCCCCATTACTAATTCTCCAGCATCATTTTCCAGCAGCCTAATGTCCATTTTTGTCTCTCTTTTGCCCTTCACTATCTGTATTACTGGCTAGCTTGCCCTCATATTTAATCTACTGCCTCCTTATTTCTTTCTTCGTTGTCCTCTGTTGGTCTTTGTAGGCTTCCCATTGCCCTTTGCTGCATTATATGCTTTCTCTTTTGCTTTTATGCCATCCCTGACTTCCCTTGTGAGATATGGTTTCCTCATCCTCCCTTTTTTCTCCTAGGGATCAATTTTAGTTGTGTCTCCCCAACTACTCCCAGAAACTCTTGCAATTGCTGTTCCACTGTCTTTCCTGCTACGCTCCTCTCCCAATCAATTCTGCCCAGCTCCTCCCTCATGCCTCCGTAGTTGCCTTTATTCAACTGTAATACTGTTACCTCTGATTCCAGCATCTTCTCAAATTGCAAAGGAAATTCTATCATATTACGGTCACTGCCTTCCAAGGGTTCCTTCACCTTAAGCTCCTTTATCAAGTCAGGCTCATTGCACAACACTAAATCCAGTATTGCCTGTTCCCTAGTGGGCTCCACCACAAGCTGCTACAAAAAGCCATCTCATAGACATTCCACAAATTCTTTTTCTTGCAATCCACTTCAAACCTGATTTCCAACTGCATATTGAAATCCTCCATGTTCACCTTAACTTTGCCTTTCTCACACACCTTTTCTAACTCCTGGTGTACCTTGTGCCCCAGCTCCTGACTACTGTTTGGAGACCTGTCCATAACTCCCATTATGTCTTTTTTTACCTTTGCAGTTCCTCAACTCTACCAGACAGATTCCACATCATCTGACCCCACTTCGTTTCTTGCTATTGATTTAATTTCATTCCTTACTAATAAGGCAATCCCAACCCCTCTGCCGACCTGTCCGTCCTTTTGATAGGATGTATATTCCTAGATATTTAGCTCCCAGTCCTGATTCCCTTGCAGCTACATCTCCGTGTTGCCCACAGAATCATACCTGCCAATTTCAATCTGCACCCCAAGCGCATTTACCTTATTTCATATACTGTGTGCATTCTGATACAACACCTTCAGTCCTGTATTTACCGTCCCTCTTCTCATTGTCATCCCTTTATCCAGTGAGCTTGAAGTTTGATTCCTAACCCTTTCCAAGCATCTATTCTGTTTTGTGTTCTGGAGACTTTAATGACTCTTTCTGAGTTCTCCCTTTTTTTTTTCTAGTACTTTTCCATGCAGCTGAAGAATAAAGATGAGAATTTAATTAGATTGAGTGTCTGATTGGGATTCAGTGTCGGTCAATGCACTTGGAGCAATAGATGAACAGAATTCCATTCCTTTTTGGATACACACATTGGTATTCTGGATGACCCTAGGTTTATGGAGGCTCGAATATGGGTGAGAGACCGGAGCGGGGGGCTGGGTGGGGAGGGGAGTTGCTGTGCAGTATTCAGGTCAAGACGATACAATTGCATTGGCATGTGATTTCAGGCAGGGAGTCAGGCTGCTTTCTTGAGGTAGAAATGTGATTTACCTGGAGGTTAAGGCATGTGGATGGAAGAACCTCTTGAGGTCAAACATTCTAATAAGGTTGCAAGCTGACCAATTCTGTATCAGCCCGTTGCCAGAGAGAGGGATGATGGGGGTGGAACAAGGTTTGCAATGGGGATCAAAGATTCCTGACATGCACGAACATTCCCCAAATGGCCCCTGGCTTAAACTAGATTTGTGTGCACAGTGTCTTGGTCTTATCCTCAGTCTGGGTGTCACAGAACAAACTGTTTCATCCAAATCTGTCTCCTTTTGGAGTCATAGAGTAATACAACATGGAAACAGGCCTTCCAAACTGGTCCATGCTGACCATGGTGCCCACTCAGCTAGTTCCAATTGCCCACATTTGGTCCATGTCCCTATAAACCCTTCCCATCCATGTACCTATCCAAATGTTTTTCGAGTGTTGATATTGTAACTGCCTCAGCCACTTTCTCCGGCAGCCCATTCCAAATATGACCACTCTCTCTGTGAAGAAGTTGCCCCTCGGGTCCTTCTTAAATCTTTCACCTTAAACCTATGCCCTCCAGTTTTCAATTCCCCATCCCTGGGAAAAATGCTAGATGCATTCATTCTATCTATGCCCTCATGATTTTATACACCTCAATAAGGTCACCCTGTTTGACAACACAATTCAATCTCCTGCCAGACCATGCCTTGGGCCTTACTTGCCAAGTTTAACAGATGTTTGACAGGGAGCTCAGCTGTCCTGTTCTTGTCATGCTTCCTTATCGTGATCTTGACCCTCTCCTGGTTAAGCCCAGTTTTTTCTAGTTCACAATTTGTCATATCAGCGCTTTTACCCCTCATTTTGAGTGCGAACATGGAGGAAACAAATAATTCCCTGCACATATTTATTTTTTTCTGTCTGCAGTCAGCTCTGAACTTGTTTACAGGACCATAGGTTTCCATTGTCCTCTGAGTCTAACCCTTCCCACTGCAAACAGTTCTGTTTTCAAGGAGCCATTATTTTGCTGAACATTGTACGTTGATCAATCATAAACATCACATATAATAATCAATAGTAAGGTAATAATTCTTGATAATTTCACACAATGGTCGTTAATAATGAGATAATTCTGCAATAGAGTGTACGATCTATAATAGTGCAATGAAGGCAGGTCAACCCACCAAGGAAGTAGGCCCTGGGTTCACCAGGGATGTGGGTCAAATCCCATGCTGTTAGCATGAGTTATGAACCTCATCCACAGTGCCCATCTAAGCAAATCCTTGACCTCTCCTCCCTTGCCGAGTCTGAATTTCTGTGGCAACATGCATTTTTATAAACACGTTAAATGGCGTGGATCTTATGGATAGAGATTCCAGTTTATTTCCATCATGTGGTTGACATTGGTCAATCTGGTGACGCGACCAAAATGCACTGTTTGAGCATAAGCAGCATGTGATAGGCAGAACTATGTGATCCCATAACCAGAGGATCATATGTGGTCGTGAATGGTGGTGAACAGTTAAACAATTCACTGGAGGTGGGGGCTCCACAAATTCCAATCCTCAGTGATAGAACAGCCCAACACGTCGGTGCGAAAGATAAGGCTGAAGCATTCGCAGCAATCTTCAGTGAGAAGTGCCAAGTGGACGATCCATCTCGGCCTCTTCCAGTGGTCCCCAGCCCCACAGATGTCAGCCTTC